TTCACAGAGCAATTGCGTACGTCGTGTGTGGAAGCGGTAGAGCGGGTAGTGTCGTGGGAAAAATCTAACGTGTGATACGATGCGTGTGTGTGAAGTGCGGTCGAATGTCTTTGTTGCCTTGCCTGCAGCCGATGCGACATCGGAAGCCGAAGCCGGAGAAGGCTGTGCCGTCGCGGCCCCTCGCCTGCGCCCTCCTCGACCTCATGGTCGAGTTCGTGATGAGTCACATGATGAAAAACCTGCCGATGGAACTCTACCTGTAAGCGCTAGACGATTTGCTTCTTAAACTCTTTATCGCAAAATTTCGTTCACCCGTGACTTTATTTTCAGTATGTTTTTGGTAAGTTTCATTCACCCCGAAATAATTTCATTCACCCTTTGGTGAACTATTCACCAGTTTAAGAAGCACCGCACTAGACGACGTGTTGTTGCAGGTGTGCATCAGTGGCGGTCGGTGCATCGTCGCCTTTCGCACATATGTTGCTGCCTAAATATATATGTATGCAGGCAAATCTGTGTGAGTGGGCACCTCTATAGAACGGGCATCTGTCTATAGTATAAAGGTTGCTTGTGGTGGTGCTTTTGAGTAGCAGTCGTACAGTGAAACCACCTTTATGTAATGAAGGCCAGTTTAATAACAGAAAGGTTGCATGTCTTCTTAAAACAATTGGTGTCTTTTAACCATAAAAACAATTAAGTTTTTTAAAATCGTTAAACTGGCTGCATCTGATATTAGTGGAAGCTTGCTCTCGTTCCTTAGGATATTATGCGTAATGCTTTTATCTGTTCTTCCTGTTGCATATAGAAAATGCCTGGGAATCACACACAGGGTGTTGTGTTACCAGAAAAGATGTCGAGTCAGGCTTAACTACACATGGAAGGAATTGTGGACAGGTGAGACAAGGATATCAATATATATTTACTGTTCTAGCTGACTCAATCGTCTAATATTATCTGCTTTCGGAAAAATTGTTGCATCAGATTCGCAGTGTGTGTGTTATTTATTTGTTTGCTCTTCATACCTGTCTAGGCATTTACCTGTAAAATGTCAATGTGGTTAAAGATTCATGAATTTGAAATACAGAAATGAGATCGTTCGGATGTATAATTTCCTGTTATATTATCACGTTCAGTACTTTGTGTTTACAGCTCCATTATTTCACACGAATGCAAAGATCATTGGAAGTTTTCTCTGCGATGTAACTTATATTTCTTTGTATTACAGCTCTCATTTCCCTTCTTAAGTTCTTGCTAGCTCAGGAATCATCATTGCTTCCTCAATACAACATCTTTCAGCTGGCATCTCAGGTATGTGCTCCTACCTACCCTTTATCGATTCCCAAAAATCGGTTTCAAATAAAAGCGATTGATATCTTATTGGTGGTGAACGTCTTCAACTTGTTCATCACGTACGCTGTTCGTTCGTTCGCAGCTCGTGAACATCTTCAACTTGTTTATGTGCTAACTGTTCGTTCGCAGCTCGTGAACATCTTTAACTTGTTCATCACGTGTGCTAACTGTTCGTTCGCAGCTCGTGAACATCTTTAACTTGTTCATCACGTGTGCTAACTGTTCGTTCGCAGCTCGTGAACATCTTTAACTTGTTCATCACGCACGCTGTTCGTTTGTTGACAGCTCGTGAACATCTTTAACTTGTTCATCACATATGATGTTCATTTGGTCGCAGGTCGTGAACACCTTCAATTTATTCATCACGTACACCGTTCGTTTGTTCGCAGGTCGTGAACATCTTTAACTTGTTCATCACGTACGGCGACACGTTCCTACCGAGCCCGACGAGCTACGATGAACTGTACTACGAGGTTGTTCGCATGCACCAGGTGTTCGACAACCTATACTCGATGGGTGAGTAGCGCGTGTGTGTATCATCTATAAACCAGCTGTTATATATACTATGTACTATATACTGTATCGATACATTGTTTCACTTATATTTGCTAGTCTGTAGCTGCGTTCAC